ATCCATCCACTGGAAAGAGAACAAATTTTCACATTCCATTGTCCTATCTTTTTAAGTTCTACATGAATTAGATACTAAGCCACCGAGAAGTGTTTGCACTGCGGACCCCTACTAATGTTCTACTACGTATAAATGGTTCGCTTATTTGCTGTGCTACTTCATCAAATTATCATCCGAAGCCACAAAAAAGGGTATTCAGTGCTCTACCTTATCAATTATTTTGTATAATGTTTAGTATTAATTTCATATTTTTTAATCTTGAGGATCATTGGCAGTGCTGGAAACACCTGCTTGTAAGGAATGGGAAGTTAATACCGATTTAAGGTATCATTAGTACAACTTTTGCTATATTGCTAAAGCTTCCTCTTCATCTCTAGCTATGCTTGAATGATCTTCTTGATTCTATGAAATGGGCTTTAGAGCTTTTAGAAAAGATTGTGGTAGGAAATTTATGTCTTACTATGTTAACTATATAGAGCAACAGTTTATAGATTTATACTCTCTGGGCAGTGAAATCTGATTTTTCATATTCACATATAGACAATAAAGATCTTGTTCATGGTGCTCAATATCTTCAGCTATCGATTAGGTTCTTGATTAGCTGCTTTGCTCAGGTTGTAACGCGTAATTACCAATTAGAGGTGGGTTTTGAGTTAGGCTTCGTTTGGGACGGCTTTCTTCCTGCTTCTTAAAACAGCTTTCTAGTACAATAACTAAAAAATATGTACTAAAAAGCTGTTTTAAGAAGCAGAAAAAAAGCCGTCCCAAACGAAGCCTTAACGATCTGTTTCAGTACTTTAACAGAAGTTTTTTTTTTGGTTTAGGGTTTAGTATGGCTACATTTGTATTTTGACGTTTTAATTTGAAAGAAGAGGACTTTTTTGATCTGTGAAAATGAATATTTAACAGAGTGATTGAGCAATGCTAGGGAATGCTAATTGAAATTTTTTGAACTATAGAAAAAGTTCAATCTTTTGTCCCAGAAGCTTCTTTTCTTGCTCTGCGAGGTTTGACAGACGCAACCTAATGTGGTTGACAAAATCAAGATTATATGCTATTAAGTGGGGTCGGCTACAGAATCTTTTGAGTTTTTTTTTTTTTAATTTTTATTTAAATCTAATAAAAAAAAGTCATTTTAAATATTTTTTAAGCAAATCATTGTAGGTCTATCCTAACTACAATTAGATTAAAATTACAGTAACTACTTTTGTTCAGCTCCTATTTTTTTTTTTTTTTTTAATTTTTTAATTTTTAGGTTTATCATCTCCAATCATCGACGATCACTAACAACATTCGTTGGCAGCTACCGCCGGCCAGCACTGCCACCAACACTCGTTGACCACTGTAGGCGTCAACCTCCGGTCATCGTGCCTCTGGTTGCCGGTGGCTACCACCATCGCCACCCTCTTACTACTGCCGCCCACGGGCTACCACCACCAACCATGGCTACGATCGCCGTCGTCACCCTCCATCATCGTGATTGTCACCTGTCATTAGCTTTCATTTTTAAATTTTACACTACATTCATTTTATGTCAAAAAGAAAAAAAATCATTCACATAATTTTATTTTACACTGATTTAAATAATTTTAAAATATTGATTTACACTGCATTTCTTTTAATTGTATTCCAGCACTTTAAGGAATGGTGAGGCCGGCTTAGCCCAATTCTATTAAATATAAACAAAATAACAAAATGTTCAAATTTTAATGTAACATAAGAACTGTCATGCAACATAAGAAGGAAGATAGTAAAATAACGACAAGGCTAAGAACTGAAAACATCTACGAGAATAACAGCTCGAAATCGTCTAATTAGAAGCAAATATCAAAAAGCTTCTCAAAATAGTAGAAAAATGAAGTTTCGTAAAAAAAATTTTTATAGAAGAGTCACATCCAAATAACGACCAAAATATAATTCTGTTTATAAACAAAAAAGAAAAAAAAAAAAAAAAGCCAAAAAAAAAACTAGTCCTAAATCAGTAGAAAATGAAGTAAAAGGAGCCCGTCCATTTAAAAAAAAAAATCAGCACATCTATCAATTAGAAGCTCAAACTAAAAGAAAGATAAGGCAAGGAAAGTCCGGTCATGAATCCTTGAACTTTTACCTTCTAAGCTTATAGGCAATTAAAGATTGACTTTAGTTACCAACAAGCTTTGGCAAATAGAAGAACCACAGAATGAGACCTATTATTGCAACCATTCAGAATTAGAGGAAAAATGCGCAATTTTTTTTTTTTAAATCTCATGAAATCAAATTTCTCAAAAACGTATAGGAAACATGGCATTAAAAAAGATAGATGGTTCTCAGAATTAAGAAGAAGATTGTAAATCTTATAATTTCTATGTACATTAATACTACTTGCAAGAAGAATATCGGTTGTTTTTAGGCCTCTCAAAAAAGCCAACCAACAACATAAAGAGTATTTTAGAGAAAAAAATCTTTGAACCAAAGAAGCCCATGCCATCCACAGTCTTAACATAATAGAATATGATTTTCTTAGTACTTTTAAAAGAGAAGCTTTTCTTGAGGCCCCGCCATAGCCTATCAATCCCCCATTGACATTGATATCACAGATAGAATTGTAGCACAAAATGGTTGATATAGATGAGGAAAGATGGGAGCTAATAATATACCTCCATAATAATAGAAAATAATTTAGCATCATTAGGTTGATGGCATGAAACAATTATCACTGAATAAATCTAGTAAAGAGATCCAACCAACCCAAGGATTAAGATAATTTAAGGTCATTGCCAACAATAAAAGATAGCCATATTCTCATAAAAAGAACCACAAGTATCAAGTTGTGCGAAAAAGGAGAAACATTGGGTAGGTCTCCTCTATTAGGATTTGAAATATTCCATTCACCAATTGAATAAATGGCTAGAAGAGTGAAAAAGTCTTCAAAAGACTTTCATTTTGCACGTAGAGTCAAGGGAAGAAATAGAAGCAAGGCATATACCTTTTTTTTTTTCTCTTAAATGAGTAATATGATTCCAAGACAAGATATGCAACTTATTATAGAGACATCTTTCAATGAGAAAATGGCTAGTGAGTGAGAGATGTTTTTAAGAATACATATGGGTAAAGAAGCAGAACAAAGCCAATAGGAAAAGGGATTGTTTAATGATGAATGATTGAATTGAAATCTCCCAACTAAAAAAAAAAAATCATTTTATGCTTCTATTATGTGTGCCAACATTAATTTTTTCAAAGAGTGAGTGGCAATATTTAACTTGAAAATTTTTATCAAAAGAGGGAGACCCAAATAAATAATGGGAAGGGGCCGGGACTAACAATGAGACCAATCTAGTTGCTAATGTTATCAAAATTCAACATAGCTTAAGAAAATTAGACTTCATATTTAATTATATTCATCTGAAGACTAATACATTTAGTGAACATAAGATATTATCCATGAGGGCAATAAAGGTGGAGCTCAACCAACTATTAAAGATCATATGTATGGATTAAATGAGAAATAGTTGCACTACAACTAAACATGGCCGGGGTGAAAACAAACCTTTTCTCACATCAAAATTTATTCATAGTAACAACAACAAAAAAAAGGGAGAGGGTACAACTTTGCCTAAGGTCATTATAATAAGTGAAGTAGCATTTGGTCTTGTCATTAAGATTAATGAGAAAGGGCACATAATGAATGCAAGTTACAAGCCAATTAAGAAACCGAAGAGAGATACCTTTTGGAGGAGTCTAGATAATATGACTTAATTGTTAACATTGTCAAAGCCTTTTATGGAAGTGACAAGCTCAGTAAGAATAACTTGCTAGGAAAAAAATTGTTCTTCTTGTTCAAGCTTAAGATTAGCCATAGCTTGCCTTTTTTTTTTCTTTGTTTTAAGAAGGCCTTTTTTGAAGCAAGCTTAACAAACCTAAGCTTTTTATAAAAGATAAGGATGAAGGGCATGGATTTGGTCTCCATAAACAAAAGAAGTCAAAGTTATCGACACAATAATATTGTAGTTAAAATATTTAACTCAAGAGTCTTTGAAGATGAACCTATGATTCTCAAGAAAAAGTTTTGTAGAAGAAATAAATTATTGGGGAGTGGTCAGATGATATGTTAGGAAACACTTTATTGTAAGAGAAATTGAAAGCTTATAGCTAGAAAATATTATATACAATAGGAATCAATCAATTTTCAACATGATAAGATATTATGCTTGATTGTTTCTCTTCCCATGATTCCTCAATTTTCGACATGATAAGACCATGTGTAATCAAGTCCAATATTGATAAGATTCAAAAAGAGAATCAAACAAATTTTGTGCATATTACTATATAAGATTGTGTTTTAACCTTTACAAAGTTAGTATTGTGCATAATATTGTATTAGTGGTTGCTTAATAAATCCTAAATATTGATTAGATTTGTAAGCAAAATAGTTGATAACAAATCAACTCAATATTCATTCATATAAGAATTATTTATTTTAATAATTGAATAAAATTTTAAAATTTGACATATAAATAAAAAGTTTCACATAAGCTTATTTTTCTATTAATATTGGAGAATATATTTGATCTTTAACATAACAAGCAACCCAATAAGAGTTTCTATAAATTATTGAAAGTCTTAATTAAATTTCTTATGATCAATTTTTTAAATTTTAAATCCAAAATATTTCTTATAGAGACATAAATATTAAACAAATTCTTTACTACATAAATATTTTTTTTTTTTGTAAATATTTGAATTTCAATAGAGATAACATTAGTAATTCTAAATAAATAATTCTTATTACATACTACTAATCATAATTAACACTTATAAATCCATTTATATCCACCTAAAAGCCATATTTAAATAATTAGATTAAAATATAATTAATTAAGTCCAACTAAAAATTCATTATAACAAGAATTTAATAAAATATAAATTAATTTAAAGTAGAATGTACTAAACTATGTTCAAATCATTTAATATTTTGGCTATAGAGCACAAGACTTGCTATAAAAAAAATAATAGCCATCAAATAACATAAATTTCTTCAATTATATTCTTAAAGAAATATATATCCCATATTTACATCAAATAAACCACCTCCAATGACCAATTTGCCCATTCATTTCTAATAAAACTACAACTCCATAATAATTAGGAAAACCTCATTTGCTGTAATGCCATTCCTCCCTATGCACAATACGAATATCAATCATAAATGAACATCTCTCATCCTTCCTATTTCTTATGCACATACTTTGAACAAATCGCCAAAGAATTCTAAGGCATCTCCTTTCCTTCCCAAAAAAAAACAGAGCTTTTTACTAATTGTATACACATTCTTCAATTAACCAGCAAAAAATTACCACTTTTTCATATGGAGCAACTGTTAGGAACCCCGCGGCAAGTAATCCCCGGCGGCGAGCTAGGCGTCATGAGCTCATAAGGCAGCACTCCAGCTCCACACCTGTTTCTCATTGCGGGATCCCTGTTTCTCCTCTCAATCTCCTCCTCCGCCCTCCTAACCTCTGCCGCAAACGCCTTGAAAACCTCCATTGCCCGTCCGTCACCGGTCCATCCCTCCCTCCTCTCCCCTAAATACTCCTCGTCCGCCGAATGCGTCGACAGCGTATCAATCACTGTCATAAAAATCGTCGCTTGCGTCAGCTCCGGCATCGCCGAAAGATAATATCTGTGTGGGTCTGAAAGAAAGTAGTCATAGTCTGGGTCCCCCATCTCCGGCAGTAGCCGTCGAAGAAGTGGCGGCCGGCAAGGGATGTAAGCCCCGATCGGGTATTGGCCGAAGTTGAGTGCCGCGTGTTGCGCGGATGCAAGCCAGATGAGCGTGGTGAGGATGTTAGCGAGATCAGCCGGTGTAGCCATGGTAGGCCACCACGGCGCGTTCCGGTGGTCCGCATGACCGGCCGTTAGGACTTCCTCGTACCACGACATCAGCTCACCGTCAGCCTGCACCGCCGCCGCCGACGGATAGTACGCCGTCACATACTCCTTCGTGAACGACTCCAGCGCCGACCAGAGAAGGAGACCATCGTTTGCATATGGGTAATCTTCGATCAACAGCCGCAACCCATGCGGCATACTTCTGTCCTCAACCGCCATTCCTCTGAAACGACGCAATCAGACAAGGTAAGTAATGATCCATGAATTCGGGATTAGAAATTAATTAGTAACAGAAAATTGTGAACCTTCGAATGAGATCGGCAGGGAGGCCCTCCTGATCGAACCGCCAATGTTCCTCGTAGAAGGCGGAGCTAATATCCATGGAGACTGGCCCGGGGGTGAAGCTCGACTCAATGACTCCGCCGGCATTGATGAGGAATTGGCGAGCTATTGCATTAATCTCCATGTTATACCGCATATGTGGCTTCAGAAGCTTGAAAATTGGGTGCATTATACTCAGCTGCCGGTGTGCAGAAATTATGAATGGCTCGATGCAAGCATGTGTTCTCAGCCTGATCAACAAATTTATTACTAACTAAGAACAGAGAGAGAGAGAGAGAGAGAGAGAGAGAGAGAGAGAGAGAGAGAGAGAGAGAGAGCAAGGGAGATCAATAAGTGAATAGGCATACCAGTGATTCACTAATTGATGAACGCCAGCATCATTAGCGCTGACATGGGCCTTTGCAAGCTGCCATAACCAGTTGCTGGTAGCGTCAGAGGGTGGAGTCAGTACACGTTTCGCTTTTGAGGTCATCAATGGGAGACTGAGCTCAATAGCGATCGGCTTCAGAGTTCCCAAAGAAGTCAGGAAGAAGATGGTTCGAGTAGCGTAGGCCTTCCGACCATCCATAGCATTGATGCGGTCAAGGAATGGGAGATAAATGTCATGGAAATCAAGGATGAACAGTCTGTTCTCCTCTATTGCCTGATAGAAAGTAAGCCGTTAGAAAGTTTGAAATAGATGGAATATATTGGCATTTTTGTGAATGTTATCTCATCAAGGGGTGAACTGAATAACTAATTACCTGTTTGACTGTCATGCCGTCGAGTTGACCAACGATGTGTGCTTCCTTGATGGCGGATTCCGGCGGGCCGTAGACGGCCGGGTCCAGCTTGCTCACCGGCGGGAATTCCTGAAAAATGACGTAAATGCCACCGTCAGTTAATTGAAAAATGCCAATAAACTGAAGGGTAAATCCGGCATGATTAAGAGTTTAATTACCTGAAGCCGCTCAATGTTGACGGGATTTATTCCCGCCAGCGTTTGCCGGGCGAACTCGTCGTCACGGAGCCAAGCGAACTTGTCCTCTGTTTAAAACAGAAATTCAAATAAATAAATAAATAAATACCAGGTGCTATTTGATAATTTTGGAAAATAGAAAAGGTCCATCATGCAATTCCGATAATCCTATAGGCTCAATAAGAAATTCCTCGTCATCAGTGGGCCTGATTAGGTCAGCCCTTTGAGACTTTATATCGGCCCATTAAAATGGGTAGCTGTATCTATCATTCATTATGGCGGAAAGCAATTCTACACTGTGCTAGCAATAAAGCTCTCCTTCCCACCGTACTTTTTTCTGTTAAATAAAATTATTAAAAATAATAAAAAAAAGTGTTCAATGGCTTACTCGTAATAATATGTGGAGTGTCGTAGCGAAGAAGAGCTTCACTCGAGTCTTGAATCTTATTCATCAAAGGAATTTTCTTGAGGAGATTATCCTCAATGCCTTTCTTCAATTTAATCCCTTCTTTGAACAAATTATCGAACTCATGAAAACATTTCAAGTCATTGGCTGAAGGGTCGATCGCCGCAACAATAGACGGCATGAAATTGTGTAGCATAGCCTTCAAAGCTCCCTCGGCGAGCGTCTCCTGCTTCGTCTCCTCAAAAGCCTCGTCTCTGGGCACATAAGTCGGCACAGGATACTCTATTCTGCTCTCTATGCGTGAATCTGCGCCCATTTAAAAAAAATATAATAATGACGTCATTAATCATATAAAAAAAAACTTGATTATTATATAATAAAAGGCAACTGGTTTTCCGGTGGGGTCGTTTTTCAATAATTGATGAGCAACGCTAGAAATTAATTTCGGTTTGACATTTCGTGGTCAAATTTGCTGGATAGGCGCAAGCGAATTGGAAGGAGAAGAGCTTACTTTTCAAACAAAGCACGCTTCAAGTTCCAAGAAAATTCCAAAAAGAGACATCAGAAATTCACTGTTGACTTTTATTATCCACCTACTCTCTTTACGGACGAATTCCTTTTGAATTTTTAGAATTAACTAGGCCCTCTTAAAAGTATAAAGAGCATTATGCTTTAATGACTTAAAAGTTTTTTTAATTAACTGGTTTTTTATATTTTGATTTTGAGCTTGTTCAGTTATTTTTAGGTTTCATTTGAGACAGCTTTTTACTGCTTCTTAAAGCAGCTGTAGCAGTAAAAAAACAGTCTCAAACGAAATCTTAGTTTCATAAATCTTGTCATAGAGCTCATCTTGATCTGTTGGTTGAGAGTTTTAGTATCAATGAAGAAATCTTGAGTTTGTATAAGATTACGACAAAGAATTTAAATTTGAAACAAAAACAAAAAAAATTCTAACGGATTGATTTTTTTATAACCATAGAACATTATACTGATGCTGTGCTATCTTAGTGACATATGTTGTTCTCTGGCGGTAACATTGATAGATCAGTCGTATTTTAGGTATAGCTATATTATTTTAATTAGTAAAATAGTTTATTTATTTTTAAAACCTCAAAATGAGAAATTCAATAATGTAAAGAAAAAAAATGATAAAAAAGACAGAGAGTAAATTAGTTAATTTTTTGAATTATAAAAATAAAAAGAATTAAACATTAATTTCACTTATTAAAAAATATCACAGCTGTTATATGATATGATAAAAAAACTTAAATACATATATATTGGATTACAATATTCTACTAAAAATAGATACCTGTATTTGATGGCTGACGACCAGTGCGACACCGCCGAGGGTAAGGCTTCTCATCTCCTCCGAGAACTGGACGAACATACTCAGAACCCTTATCAGGATTACCCAAATCATTGTAGACATCGAAGTCATATACTCTATCAGTTAGCTTCCTCTCCCCCTTTCCATCTCCTCTAATCTCCTTCAAATCTCTCTCTCTCAATTCTCTCAGCCCTGGAGGTGTCTCAGAAGGCAAGTAAGGCTGTAGAAACATGAAAAAAATCATTATTTTTCTCATCGTTAACTTTGAGAACATCTTTATTGGTTCTTAATTACCTTATTAGTAAAAAAAATCCTCTTTTTAGGTTGATCTTTGATGGATTGGACCCAAGAATCACAGGTGAAGTGAACTGGGCCACAGGAAAAACCTTCAACAACAATGCTTTCCAAGAAGAACTCTTTGTTATGTCTGTTGAGAACAGTGATAGCTCCTGGCTCGCCGAAGCTGGAGTCAACCATGAATTCTGCACTGTATACTACTTTCGCTGCTTTCAAATCCTTTTTGTTAAACCAGTCCTTTAAAATAGCTTCCTTGCTCGTTTTCGCCCTATTTGTTCCTTCAAAATTGGAAGAACAAAACGTCATAACAATTTCAAGTTTGTCTGAACAGGGGAAGATGAAGGTGGAACAGGAGAAGAAAAGGTCTTACTTGGATCGATCTCGGTGCCGACGAGTTCGAGCACGATGCTCTGTCCGATTCTATCGCCGAAAGCATCGAGCTGGGTCTCCATCTTCTCCTTCATGCTCTGTTTCTTCTTCCTCCTAATAGTGATAGCAGCTCTGACCTTGAATTTCACTGGCTTCTCTTTTTCAACCAGCGCTGAAGCCACCGGTCGGTCTACGATCATCGTTCCGGTGACCCGAGACCGCCGCGCCTTCCCTGAGACCAGTTTCCTCTGTTTTAGCGGAAGCAAATTGAGCCTGCTCTGTTCTCCACCGGAGAGAAAAAGAGAGCTCTGAGGAAAAAGGGAGGATCTTTGGAGAGGAGGGCAGCTCAAACTTCCTCTCAAGGCCGCCATTTTTCTATGACTCTTTCTTCAAATTGGAAAAACAATTTTCCCTCTGGTCCTTACTCTCTGCCTCTCCCGTTTTCTGCAGCCTCTTATTCGGTATTTGGTCTATGATTTCAGCTAGTCGAGCATAGAGGGATAGGGAGTTTTTATAAGAGATGGAGGGGTATTTGTGGAATATCACATTTGGTTCGACTCGTTTCCGCCGTCCACACGTTTTTTGTTCGAACCGGTACTTCCTCGCAGTCGCGATAGTTTTTTTTCAAGACTATGAAAGTCGGACCTGAGGAGTAGAGGTTAACGATTTGATGTCCAATCCAGGTTAAATTGGAGTCGAAATGAATAATGTAATAAATATTTATTATATTTAAATATTATAATAGTGACACAATTATTTATAATATTATATTTAAATATTATAATACTAATATAATTAAAAAATTAGTAGAATTATGATATGAAGTAGAAAAAAAAAACAATAAATAATTAATAAAGTTTTAAATTAAATATATTTCTGTTTTTAGCAACTGGTATTTTTATAATCATAACATGGAAGATAAAATTAATTTTTTTCATAAAATTGTAAAAACAAAGCTCTAAAAATATTTGGAGTGGAAGGGGTTGTTGCACCAAGTTCATGTTCTGTTGCTGTTATTAGGTATCAATGACCAGCGCTTATCTATTTTTTATAGTGTAGATTATATTTAGGCTTCGTTTGGGACGGCTTTTTTATTGCTTTTTAGAACGGAGTTTTAGTACAAAAATAAAAAATTTTGTACTAAAACTCTGTTTTAGAAAGCAGTAAAAAAGACGTCCCAAACGAAACCTTAGTAATATTTTGTTGTATCTATTATTGTTGGGAAACAATCTAGATGAGTTTAAGCAGGCAAAATCAAAGAACATTAACTTTGGCGCTTTTTTAAATCAATTTGTTAACAATAATAGCATTAAAATTGACTTCAAAAGCTATATGCATCTACCAGTAATCATTAAAAAAAAAAAAAAAAAAAAACAAACGCACGACAAGAGAAGAAGATAGGATAAGGGAGTCTAGCCACCTGTGGAAGCTCGTGAACGAAGAGGGGATGCCGAGTAGAGAAGGAACGAGAACTTCGTTCAAATGAAATGATGTTTAGGGTTACGATTTTACGGGTCTACGGGATTGGCATATGAATTTAGATTTTTTTTTCTTTATATTGTTTTGATGTGGACTGCTGGATCAAAAATCAAAGGCTCAGATTTTGCTCTAATTAAAACGCGCGACTTTGAAAATTTGGTTCCAGTTCATCGATTCGACCGCCAGTCCGAGCAGTGCTCGGTTAGTTTCTTGCAATTTCAGTTTTGTATGTATATCGAATCTGCCAGTCGGTCAGTTCACAGTTGAACCGTGTTGAACCGGCTAATTCGGTCCGGTTTTAAAAACCTTGATTTTTTTAGTTAGGTGAGCATTTTTATTCCTCTACCGGCTCTTTAAATTACCTACATGTATAAAACTTGCCTAAAAACAAACCAATTTATGCCTAAGTTAAATTTCTTCCTGTCGCAAAAGTAACAAAAAATCTTCAAAATTGCAGAATACCTTAGCTTCTTTGAAAATTAAAATTAATTACATGACCCTTAATATTATTATATTTATCCGGTTTAAAAAAAAAAATCAAGATTAGTTCAATGGTTGAACTTATAATTCTTGCTGGATCAGCCCAATTTTTGAACCAAGGATATATATAAATTTAATATTTTTTTAATTTAACATTAAAATTTCTTGAAGAAATCTGATATAAGCCAAAATCTTCCTTAACTCTCCCCATTAAGCCAATGATGCGAAACCTTGTTTATTGTTTGATATGCGAGCAGAAATTCCATCAAATGACGCAGGAATTTGATGTTATCTTTAAACTACTAATTTATAGAATTTAATTCAGATGAGCTCCGATTTCAATAATTTTATAATAAGACTGAATATCTGAATAAAATGAATGCAATGACATCAAAAGTAATTAAACTCAGAGTGTTTGTAGTCAAAATGAGCATCTAAAGAAGCAGAATTTAACAAGCCTACGATCATTCAATTTGAGGTCATTCAATTTAAGATCATTATTATTATTATTATTATTATTATTTGGCCCATAATAAGCTACATATAAAAGACATAGTCTAAACAACACACAAACTAAACAACCTAAAAAGGGAAACAGAGGGGAACAGAAGAGCAAGAGCGGACTCAGGCCGCCACCTGGTTGCCAGGCTTGGGCCGTCCAATCATCAGTAAGGTTGCATCCAAGCCCAGACCATCCGAGGGGCCTCATCATAGTCCTCCAATAGCAAAACCAAGCCAAACCGAAAGCAAAACCAAGAAAAAATCATTAATGTATTAAAGCCAATCAATAAGATCCGATCGATAAAATATTTTGAGACTTAAGCCAAATAACTAAAAGACCACTCTCAAAAGGTAGGGATATACCCAAATTTCTCATATATAGAGAGTATAGAGGTGGAATGAGGAAGATGAAAATTTAATAAAGGATATGAATATATGAAAGATTATTCTATCACCTATTTTAACATTTTAAATATATTTTTATTTTCATATAAATAAAAAAGGAAGAAGAAGAAAAAACCCTTAAAAATACATGTAAGCACAATTGTAGTGTATTTATCAAGATAGGCAAAGAAAATAAAAAAAATTAGTCCAAAAGTAAGAAAAATTTACAAAGTTTAAATGATAATCATTCAAATACTTTCATTAATACAAAATAATTGAGCTATATTTTATTCTTAGATGTGAGAAGTATTTTGGTTGATCACTTACTTGAAAATAAAAAAAATAAAAAATAAACCTCCTCCCTTTCCCTTCCCTTCCCTACCCGTTTTTTTTTTTCTTTTTACATTTCAGTGTTAGTTCAATCCTTAAAAGGTTAAATCCATAAATACCATTTTAACCCTATCCATACCTGCTTTTTGCAAAAATGAATCTAAAAAGTTGTGATTGAGTATATTACTTTTTAACTTTATGAAGATTTTATCACCCTTTCAGTGGAATACAACCAGAATTTGTGCGATGAATCGGTCTATAAAGTGAGGACTCTTTGAAGTCAGATCCTTCTGTAATCGTCAGCCCTTGCGCATGCTATGTATTAGTAGCATAGGGGAAAAACTAAGATTATTTTTTTTAGTAAAAGCATTTAAAAAAAAATTAAAGCCTATATCTTAAATTTTTCTCCTAAGTTGTACAAACTACAATTCGGTGGACTGATGATGGTGATGAGTCAAAATCTCTTTGAGAAATTTTCAAACACGCATGCTAAGGTTTTGCTTCTTGTGCATTTGGTTGGTTTCACTAGCGGTTTTTCTTTTCCTTATCTTGATCATTTAAGCTTCATTTAATTATTCGGCACCTTTTGTAAAAGATAGTTTTCGAAACAATTTTTAAGGCAATGGAGTTTTTTAACAGAGAATCAAATATCAAAAAGCTTCTCAAAACAGCAGAAAAATGAAGTTCCCTAAAAAGTATTTTTACAGAAGCATCATGATGTGGTGATCGTCGGAAGAATCGGACCTGCTTGAAGGAATTCCCAATTCATGAAAAAACACAAAGCTTAAAAGCTTCAAAAAGAGATTATATTAATCAATTGACCCTCTCCTATATAATACTCAAATAGAGAAAACCTAAAAAATCCTAGAAGATTCTAGAAACTTTGTAACAAACTTGTAATAAAATAACCTATGGAACATTTTAAGTTAAAATGCTATGCATCATTTTTTTACTTGATATTATATATAGAATGATATAAGAAGAATGGGGCATTGATGAATATTATATGAATTGAAGTTTAGTAATTGGTTTGTTCTCTTGAAAATCCTTCAAGCATCATCTTCTTCCAACGATCCAACGGTTATCCCCCACATCACATCCCATCCAAACAACGACCAAAAAATAATTTCTCCCTTTCTAAACAGAAAAGGGGGAAAAAAAAAACGCCCTCTCAAATGGGGCCTAGTACTTATTGGAGTGCTGCTAGTTGTTGTTTGCCATATGCTTTGGATGGTCTTTTATTTGAGATAATATGTGTGTTTCCACTCTTGCTTTTTCTTTGATTTATTTTGTAGCCTCTCTTTTAGTTTGCAAGTTCTTCTTGATGCTTTTTGGATGATCTTTAAGTTTATTCAAGCTTGGGCTCATTTTGGGTTTGGCTTCCTGCCAACTTTGCTAAACAATTTTGTATTTTATCGTAGTACGTTTAGAAGCCTCTGCTCTTTAGATTTTATTTTCTATTTTGATTGTAATTCTTTAATTGCAATTAGTGAGCTGTTGTTTTCTTTAAAAACTTTATAACTTTTACTTGATGAAATAAAATATGCGTCCATATATATATATAAGCATGAAAGCAATTATTTTATAAAAAAATAATAAAAAAATAATGATCGACGTTATGCATTCCTTTCTTCTATTGATGTTGAAATTGGACAATAATTATATTTAGAGGAAATAACAATGATATCATTTGAAACGATCTTATTTATATATGAAATTATATTTATTTAAATACAAAATAATTTTATATTACTAAATTATAGGAATCTACATCTTGATTAAACAATTCATTGTCACCACCTTAGTGGTTTTATATATTTTGATTGTAGTTAAGTGTACTAATAATTATCTTTAAAATCTAGATTTTTTTTGGGACGGTTTTCTTACTAGTTCTTAAAACTTCTTTTAAGAAGCAATAAGAAAACCGCCGGCCCCAAAGGAAACCCTAGTGGATTAAAACTTAAGGAAATGATAATTCTTAATCTCATATATATAGTGAGAGAGAGAGAAAGTTAAGAATCTCTTTGGAGAACATAAACTATTAAAAAAAATTTAAGTATATTTTGGTGAAATGTTTTTATCATATGTTTTTTAGGTTCATGAACTAGGACTCTTAAAAGTGAAAGAGACCTCATTCTACCTTGGAATTCAGACTCATGTTAGGTTCATGAGAGTCTAGCTTTTGATTTTTATGGTTGCTTTATGCATATTAAATTTTTTTTTTTTTTTCATTGAGTTTAAGTCACTTTATACAAAGAAAATATTATCTTCAATTTTTAAATTTAATGTAATGCA